GTGAAACCAAAGTCAAGGATAGCCGAAGATGTACCGTTCATGGGCGAGAAGCGGCTCGAAGGGCCTTACACACCCGAATCAATGGGCTGAAAGTACAATTAGCCCAATACGGGCCAGGAACAGGAGCCGACCGAAGATTTTTTGTGAAACCATAGTGCTTGGGTTGTGACCCAGGGCCCTGGTCCAGCAACTGACATCCCGGACCAATTTTTTATCTGGTACCCCATCTTATGCCAGAGAGACGAGGTACGTAACCCACGAATGTTGTTCCCGCCAATATTATCCAGTGCGTTCAAGGATACAGCCCCATCGAGTAAGGCAAGACACCCAATGGTCCCAGCATCCGGAAAACTTCGCAGAGAACCCAGTTAACGCATTGTCGAAGTAGAGATCTGGGTAACTACGCAGCCGGAGTTCCTTTTTGAAGGTAATGAGAAACTGGATCTCAGCAGCCGGCATCATAGAGAAGAACCTGGCTCTGTGAAAGAATGAGCTGATGACCGCCAACTTCTGTTGTTTGCTGGAATAGGACTGGAAGTCCTGAATACCTGAAACATAATGTGACCTGTTTTCAACAAAGATGCCTGGTTCCTATGCGTGGGAAAACAACAGATACCAACAGGAGGTGGGAATTCATGCAGTTGGCATCCCATGAAGTCCCAGATCCCACCGTTGCCAGTAATTTCTAATGTCAGGTTGCTGTCATAGCATTGTTTGAACTTACGCAGGAGTACCAACGCCTTATCTTTAAAATGGTCAGAACGTTCTAAGAACTGAACAAAAACTGAGACATCATCTACCAGCCACACACCATGGAAGAGAGCCCGATCTTTCCCAAGTGAATTGAGGAAGTGTACTTCGTTGAACATACAGAGCATGACTGCAAGCGCAGGGCTGGAGGATTTACCCATAGGCACACCGACAGTCTGTTGTAACACTATCCCCATAGCTAGAAAGAAGGAATGTTGTAAGTCGAAATTCACAAATGCTTCTATCCAAGAAAAACTCAGGAACCTCCATCCCAATCTGGATTTACAGGAGGACATTCTTGCTCCTTTCCCTTTGCGTTTAACCCACACCCCTTCAAATCCAAGTAATAGGAAATACTTGATGAACCACCTGACTGCGTCTCGCAGAGAAGAATGCGGTAGCTTAGTAAACATCTCCTTAACGTCGAAGCTGGCACAGAGGAGTTGGTGTCCGGGTAGGACTTGTTTGTTAATCCTATTAAGAGAGGGTACTAGATCSTTGGTGCAAGATAGGTWAAAATGCAGGGAACTAGGAAGAGCTTTGACAAGTACATTCAGGCAGTCGGTCACCTTCTTGCATGCGGAAACAGTGGGTTCAGACGCCGTGGGACATATGGGTCTCCATTTACAAACGTCCTTGTGCTTGGGTAATGCATAACTTTTTCCTAGTGTCCCCTGGAATTCCATGATGCAATATCGTCCAGGGAATCCTTAAGATACCTGATATGACAGGTACGGAGTACGTCAGTTTCAGATTTATGGGACTGCTTAAAGCCTGTATTTTTAAGAATAAGGTTTCCATACCGGATTTATAAAAGACGGGACAGCAGAAGAGGGTGTCTCCGGGGTTATGGTCAACTGGTGACAGGACCAGCCCATCCGTGAGCTGTTTGACAAGAAGCAGGCTGTCTTCAGAGAACGGCAAGGTTTTTAGGAGAGGCAGAGATAGTTTGGTGGTTATATGAGAGGGTTTGACTAGAGAGGAGGAGGAGGGGGGAGGAGAGGGATGAGTGTTAGGGAAGCGAGGAGTTATAAAACAGGAGGAGAGGAGAGAGTCAGGAATAGAGAAGGCCCAATCCGGAGTCTTAAGAGGGAGATCCTTGAGAGTTTGGAGAATCTGATGGCGCAGGAAACGACAGGTGTAGGAGCGGGGGGAGGGGGGATATTTCTAGAATTCTTCATCCAAGAAGGCAACCAATCAGAATTCATGGACCTAAACATAATATGTTTGACGGCTCCAGAGGGATGGGGTGCAAACGCACAAGGGGCAATCATAGGAGAATTGTCGAAGGGTAGGACATCAGACTGAAAGAAGCTACGGAATCTGATTCTGATATCCATGCAAACACATTGAACATTCCCCAAGCGAGAGAAGGAACGAAAGTTGTGCAATGATTCAGACACACTCCGATGCTTGGTCCAAACCACGCGCATTCTTCTTGCCAGCATATCTGATAGTGGGGTAGGGAGGGGGGATTGYCGAATAAGGCGAGCAYACACCGCCYGAACCATAGCTTTGGACATACAGTCCGAATACTTGATGCGAAAAATCAAACGTTTGCGAGGACAAAACCCAAACTTTCGGCGAATCACGCCAGAGATAATCAGCCTCAGAGTTTGCCTGGATTCTTTCTTAGAAAAACATCTATAAGCAACAATCAGATTGTCCAACGTCCAAGTGTACAGAAGTTTCCGGTCGGGCGGATGACTTAGTAGTCGACCTAGAGGAGCTTTGAGGGATTCAGCGCGCGAGCAAAAACGAATAATGTTCTCAACATGAAGGACACTACCCTGCTCAAACCACGATCTGCAGTGTTTAAGTTGATCTCTCCCATGGCTGCTACAGAGAATCGATGAACCAAACATCCGTTTGATAACTTTCCATGAGTCAGATAATACAGATCCTTCTTTGCAGACTACAGTAACGGAAGACACACTTATCTGAACACATTCATTGAGAATCTGCAATAAGGAAATCGACGATGTTCCGATAGAGGAAATGAATCGAGCCAACATACCATTCCTTTTTGGTTCATACTCAGGGGAGGGCTTTTGAGAGTGTATAATATCTAACCTTTTTCTTGCCCTGTTCCTCCTTTCCCTCTTACCTGGTCTACGTTTTTTGTTTTTCCGTTTAGTACCAGAAGGCCTGCAATTGAGATAAGGGGACGTATAACTAATAATACGTTTCTCGGCATGTAACAAATCGTCTACAGCAAACACCGCAAGGGGGAGAGCTACATAGTGGTGAGCACCAATTCTTCGTAACCAAGTATACAGTTTATGGTTACGTACTTCAGAAGAATGCAATGTCGTCAGGCGATTAACATGCTCYGTCCACCTTACCTTYAGTGATCTAGTAGTGCAACCTACGTAACAGTGYTTGACGAAAGGAGAGACTAAACAGTAGACTACCGGACCAGGGGAAGTACGAAAATCGTAGGAGGAGAAAAGCAGGTGACCGAGATACTCWGAGAATTTTGARCCCCAGGGCAGCTGTCGTCTAACAATCAGCGYGATCACAAGCAAACGATAGAGGTAATCAATRTYCGGGTTAGTCAGTCCACCTTTGCCCACCCGGAGAGGCAGACATAATCTTACTAGGCTCCASAGAGCCCGATCGCTTGGGCAGCCCCCCTATGATTCCCTGATGGGCTCCTCATCTTCGATGTCGACTTGCTGTGTTCCCTCCAGATCARGTGCAAGATCTGCTTCTTCGTGCGTATCTTCAGCATCSGRGTCCGGAGCAGAACGAGAATCCTTGTTTCCCCGGGCAGGCCTTCGAAAGTCAAAAGCCAGGGACGCACGAAGCTCGRCAATCTCGTTGATGGCTTGTTCACAGGTTACAAAGGTAATGCCTTCCTWCCCGCATAGAATYTGTAGTCCATGCTTCTTCAGCCGCTTGARGTACTTCTTTGTTTCTTTGACGAATTCTGCTCGCTCAGCAACGACCGCTTTCACCGCCAGGCGTCCTGAAGTTCGCTTGGGAGGAGACGGGCGCAGCGTCAGATCGTCTAATCCTTCCTCAGGTCGTCCCGGATTATCATGGTCGTYGTCTTCGGTGGCCTCGTTCATGCGCTTGGTAAGATTGGATCGAGGTGTGCGTCCTTGTCGCACCAGTTTATTGACCGCCTTTTCAAATCTCTCTCGCAGCGCTTGGACTTCCAGCTCGGCCAAACGCTTCTCCTCTTTGGTGTTATTGAGGGCCTTGAGGAGCTTCTGAAAGTCCTGCGCCGATGGTGTAGCCATACCCATCGTTCGCGCTCTGCCCCTGGCAGGCGCTTCGGGGGGGCTGGTGATACACACATTCGCACCTGTACGCTTGAGGCCGACCTGACCGATTGATCGGGTAAGCTCCTCCATATGCTTCCTGATAAGCTCATATTCTTGGCGCAGCGCGTCAACTTGCCTCTCCAGTCGATGCTTCTCCGCATCTTCATTGGTGCGATTGCGACGAGCGTGGTCAATGCCTGCATTCTTCGCCATATCGGCCCTGCCCAAAAACAACTCACAAGCATCATTTATCTTGGAACCAATGATAGAACTGATTCGATCCTCGAAATCCTGATGTTCTTTCTGCTTCCTTCGGGCTTATCTTCCGCATCTCTGATCTTCCTTTTTTCATCTTCTTCTTTGATTAGTCTCTCCTTTTCTCGGAAGGCTTCCTGTCTCGCTTCGAGCTCGGCCGCCATAAACTCGTAGACGCGATCGAGCTTCTCTTGATTCAGCTTCCACAAAGGTTGTCGCAGGGTCAAGCTTTGTCCAGGAGGGAAGCGAGGATTAGCAGGAGCCGGGGGAGGGGGAAGCGCAAGCAGGGGGGCTTGAGTGGGGAAAGAGTCGTTGCCAGAGTGTACAGAAGGATCAGAGATAGTCAAGGGAGGGAATGAAGATCGGCGTGGGAGGTTCAATGGGGGGAAAGAATTTCGACGGGGGTAGGGGCACTCACGTTGGAAGTGGCCTGGCATATCACAGTTGTAACACACTCTTTGGGTCGCCATCGTGGGTAAATGCGGTCGTCAAGAAGGAACGACGGTTGCAATCCGACAGTTACACGACACGAATCCGCGCTGAGGGGTACATCAGTAAGGGAGATCCGAGAGACGTGGGAGTGAGATCAGCGCATGTAGAGGTCCAAGGTGGGGGCAAGGAGAGTATATCGGGTAACCACAGACGAACGGACGATCAACCGGACGAGTGAAATCAGCGAAAAAGTGAGATGAAAGAAATGATCGGAGACAACGAAAAAAGGAACGGACAGACGATTGAACGAGCAAGCGAAAGAAGGAACGAACGAACCGGGAAAGAGAGAACGAATGGACGAACGAACAAACGAACTAATAGAATGAGCGAAAGGACGAAACGAGAGAACGGAAGAACGACGGAACAAAGGAACAAAAGAACGAACGAAAGAACGAAAGAACGATCGATCGATCGAGCGATCGAACGGACGAAACAAGCAGCCACACGTCAGTAGTGCAATTTCTACCAAGGTTATTGCTCGAGCCGCAGGTGAGCTAAGGCATGGAGCCGAAGTGCTCAGAAAGGAAAAATAGAACTAGAAATTAGGGCGGTGGTGTCGTCCACGTCTGTGAGCATCTTCACGTCTACATTTAGCCATGGCATATCGAAGGGTTCCAAATGACACCTCAGCAAACACACGAAACACTCTCAACCARAAGATAACGAGGTCCAAAATCCATAAAAACAGGTTCAGCCACGTCATCATGTGAGCGGGAAAAACTCAAGAGAAGATGCACGATTTCCAATCGGGTAGTTGGGATCCAATCACGAGTGCGAGGGAAACGCATGCATAAGGACAAGGAAAGAGGGAAGAAAGAACGAACAACGAAAGGAAGACAGAGGAGAGAGAGAGAGAGAGAGAGAGAGAGAGAGAGAGAGAGAGAGAGAGAGAGAGAGAGAGAGAGAGAGAGAGGACAATAGGCACTAGCGCAGTAAAAATCCTGAAGCCCAAGCGATGGGTAAAAATTTTAGCACATGAAGCACAAAAAGACTGTCATCCTCGTCGGGTCGAACCCATTAGGCGCAGTAGCACCAGCAGCATCCGACACGAATGAGGAGGAGCAGATATCGGCTACGCCCGACATGTTTTGACTGGTGCCAACGTCCAGTCATCATCAGGGGCAATCGCAAGGCTACAAGATGCGAATTACTGTCGCTACTGCATAATGAATAGCATGAGTAGACGTCCATGGGAAACAGCTGCCTCAATCACTGGTCCGCAGAAATGATCCTTATCTGATATAACTACTCAGCAACTCTATGTCGTTGCAAATTCCGAGATGTAGCACGAAGGAAAGTGAAAGGACAGGGAGGGGATACAGGAGAGTGAGAGAGGGAGAGAGAGAGAGAGGGGGAGAGATAGATAGATAGATAGAGAGAGAGAGAGAGAGAGAGAGAGAAGGAGAGAAGCGGGAGAGAGAGAGAGAGAGAAGTGGGCGAGAGAGAGAAGGAAGTGAGAGGTGTGTGAGAAAGGGTGGGACAGAAGGATCGCGAGAGCAGTAACCGGTCAGTAGACTTATCTTTAGTTGTCGTAGTAGGCCGACCGTCGTAGTTAAGCTTCAACCGTGGGGTTTCATTCCAGACGTGAGAGAGAGAGAGAGAGAGAGAGAGAGAGAAAGAGAGGAAAAGAGAGGAAAAAGAGATGGCTCGACCCCAAGCGACGGGGGGGAAGATCCGTAGCGGAGCCGAGTAGATACAGAGTCGCCGCAGTCGAAGTCGGTCGTCGGCACCGCCGAACTATGAGGCCGATATAGACGGTCCGACTGGTATTATAGCCATCAATCGAAGTCGAGGATAGCCGAAGATGCACCGTTCATAGGCGAGAAGCGCGGCCCGAAAGGCCTTACACACCCGAATCAATGGGCTGAAAGTAAAATGAGCCCAATACGGGCCAGAAACAGGAGCAGGCCGAATATTTTTTGTGAAACCAAAGTCGAGGATAGCCGAAGATGTACCGTTCATGGGCGAGAAGCGGCTCGAAGGGCATTACACACCCGAATCAATGGGCTGAAAGTACAATAAGCCCAATACTGGCCAGGAACAGGAGCCGGCCAAAGATTTTTTGTGAAACCATAGTCCTGGGTTGTGACCCAGGGCCCTGGTCCAGCAACTGACATTCCGGACCAATGTTTTATCTGGCACCCCATCTTATGCCAGAGAGACGAGGTACGTAACCCATGAATGTTGTTCCCGTCAATATTATCCAGTGTGTTCAAGGATACAGTCCCATCGAGTAAGGCAAGACACCCAATGGTCCCAGCATCCGAAAAACTTCGCAGAGAACCCAGTTAACGCATTGTCGAAGTAGAGAGCTGGGTAACTACGCAGCCGGAGTTCCTTTTTGAAGGTAATGAGAAACTGGCCACAAACCCATATGTCTGCTCCTTAATTTTAACGCGCCGATGGAGAAAGACCGCGAGTTTTTTAGACTAAACAATTCCCTCCTTTCAACAGATCGTCTAACAGAGGCAGTCAAATGGAATTGGTTGCTCATGAGACAGGAGGAGGCTAGACGACATAATAGACACCAATGGTTTATAGACAATCATACGGACTTGTCCCAGAACATATCGGCCGAGTCGAGAAGCATAGCAGCGGAACGCAAAATTAGAAAAGAGGAACTTCAAATTGCTATAACAATCGCCAACGCCAATCTTACATCAGATCCCACTAACGAGTTCTATAACGACCTACTTCAAATTGCTATAACAATCTTCGAAGCCAAGGAAGAACTCTACGAATGGAGGAGATGGGAACTAAGAGGCCTGCAACTACGCACCAGGATGCTTGATTACACCCTTGACGAGTCTTTGACCAAGTTCTTCTTCTCTAAGATTAAGTCAAACGCTAGAAATAGTATGCTCGAAAGATTGAAGGACCCATCAGACCAAGGGACAATGAAATCAACTGGCACAGACTTGGTAAGGATAGCTAGGTCCTTCTACTCAGACCTCTACGAGTCCAAGACACCTTTCCCCCCCTCCACTATGAACCTTAAAGTTGTTTACCTGGACAGGACGATAACGCCGGAACCAATCATCCTAGGGGAGCTCCGCATAGCATTATCCCAGATGGGGAACGACAAAGCTCCAGGGATCGATGGTCTCTCTAAAGAGTTTTGGATCCATTTTTGGCCGACATTGGGGAGCGACCTCCTCAATTTTATTAATGACAACAAGACACAGGGTGGTCTGGGCCAAGTCCTTAGCACCAGCGTGGTCTCCCTACTCCACAAGAAAGGGGATAGAGAGGACCTAAGGAATTACAAACCAATCTCACTACTCACAACCCCCTATAAAATCCTTGCGAAAACATTAGCCAATAGGATCATAAAACTCACTGATAAATGCTTCCACGTTGATCAAGTTGGGTTCATCTCGGGGAGATACATCGTAGACAACGTGATGACCATGAACAAGGCAGCAATGATGATCACGGAAAAACGAATGCAGGCTGCTATCCTGTTCTTTGACTTTGAAAAATCCTATAATCAAGTCAATTGGGACTTCCTCCATGACTGCATGGAGACGATGGGAGTTGGGCCGAATTTCAGGGAATGGGTCGAAATTCTTTATGGAGATGCCATTGGAAGAGTCCAGATTAACATAATACTATCTGACTCCTACCCAATATCGAGGTCCGTACGCCAAGGTGACCCACTAGCCCCCCCCATCTTCCTTTTCATCATGGAAGCCATAGCCTCTTTCCTCCGCAAGGACCCCTCCATAGATCGCCTCACAGAACTGAACTACAACCCCCTACATGACTTTTCTTTTCCCACTGCGTTAATGTTCGCTGATGATCTCACGGTCCTCATTCGGGCAAACAACTCCTTTTTCCAAGCCCTCGTCAGACCCATGGAAGCCTTCCGAATCGCATCAGAAATGAAGGTGAACTGGCTTAAAACTGAAGGCTGGTGGTTAGTAGATGGCACCCCGCCTCAACCTCCAGATCCATCCACCCCCATGTCATGATCCACGGGCGACCACGCACTCCGGTGCTTGGGAATCATGATCAACAAGGAAAGCACATGGCCAGGGATGAGACAAAATCTAATCGCGAAGGCAATAGCTCGCCTAGCCCTGTGTAAGAAAGCCCAGGCATCTCTGTTCGGCAGAGCACTAATCATAAACAGGACAATATTCTCTACCCTGTGGTATATGGCATCCATTTGGTCCCCCCTGATGACGACCTCAAGACTCTGAAGGCTAGGGTAAGATGCGTCCTGTGGACTGGGGACCCTAACAGGACCACGTGCATCAACAAGGTCGCATGGCAATTAGTTACTAGGAAACCGCAAAGAGGAGGCCTGGGCATTATAGACCCAAAACGGGAAGCAATCACCCTTCAGATGAAATGGATTATTAAGATCCTAACCAAACAATTTCTCCCTTGGACAAAAATGGCCCTAGACAGCATAAGAAACCTGGCACCAACAGGTAGATGACTGAAATTTCGAGGAACTGGAACCCA